GGGGGTGGGGGGAGGGTTGGTTTTTAATTTTTTGTTGTTTGTTTGTTTGTTTTGAGATTTGTTTTGTTTTGATTTAGATTCGTTTCTTTACTCCTCGATTTCTCCTAAGCTGCCACTTTTATAATATGATGCATACACTGTTTGCTCTTACTACTCCCCCTGAATGTGCGGTTTGAGATAGGTGTCAACACTGTTTCCGTTTATGTCAACTTTCTCTTCTACTTGCCATGCCACATTCTGCAAAATTTGAATATTCTACTGACATTATTTGATGATGGCTCGAAGACATATTTCTTCTACGGGAACGACCAATACTTAATGCATCCATAAGTTTGCCAGGCAGGGGGGGGGGGTGAGGGAGTAAACGACTGAAACGTGAACGACAGTTAATTTACACATGTAAACGTTTGCGAGGGAGGGAGTAAAAGACCAGAAACGATTGACTTTATATGTTTGAATAGGCCTACTATCTGTCATTATTACGGGAAAGTAATTTATACTTTGATCATTCAAACTTCACATCGTCAGCAAGGTGTTCAAACGTATTAAGCCCAGAAAGCATTTTTTTTTCAGGAAAGATAAAAGAACTATTTCATTCTTTTAGCAATTGAACCTATATTATGTGTTAGGGTTTTTTTCTTTGCTTTTTTTTTCAACATTTCTAATTTGAATGTCGACAAATTGTTTCTTGACCACACACAAACGACATCATAGGCTACGAAATTTCTTCTTTTTTTTTTTTTCAAAATTTGGACCTAGTACATAATATTAACATCTGGCCGACAAATTATTTGTTCGGTCACGCTCTTTTGAAACTACCTGCAGTGTGTTTACCTGATGCAGTACGTAACTGCAGTCGAACTTGTCAAAGACTGCCACCCATTGTTGAGGAGAAAAGTGATTGCCTTATACAGGTATGTCGTACTAGTGCCATTATAATATAAATAGTTTTGTAAAAACAAAACAAAAAAACAAAAAAACAAAAAACAAAATTGCCAGGGGCTAAATACACTGAAGCCGTTTATACAGGAGCTTGTCTTAGACAAGTGGCTGTTGAAACACGTTCGACTGTAGCTAGCGTTAAGCAAAAACAAAAACAACAAACAACAAACATCACTAAAGGCTGGTTTGTTGAAAGGAAGTGGAAAAGAAATGCCATCCGTTATGTATAACTTAAATGGAATACGATCTATGGTGTCAAAAAAAGCGTCTGAGAAACGATATATTATGTATATTTACATGACCCTTTTTCTCCATTACTCTATACTGGTTTTTATATTTGATACAAATTCCACACATAGATGTACGCACTATATGTATATATTATGACCCATCCAATGATTGTGACAATATTTCAAACAGTGTTCATGTAAGAACCCCATGGTTCTCTTGCTGAAAGGAGAGTGCGTATTTTCAGGTTGGAGCCATTTTCGTGCTTGTTGATGACAGCAAGGTTATGCCCAGATCTTGAAAACAATGTCACAGAAACCAAGTCCATTTTTGGAACAAGGCAATATTGTATTCAACAAAACGATAGTTGTCGTGTTACTTCCAGCCAAGCTGGGGATATTTCAGAGGTTCTGCTTTGCCAACACGTTTACTTGAAATGCTTTGCGGTCTCTTTACGAACAAAGCATTATTATTTTCACGACACCCCCCCCCCCTGGTTTCAATCTTCTCTCCCATACCTCTCATAACGCACCTAAGAAAATATTTTTGGTGGATAAGATATTCTGGGTAATATTAATTGTAAGGCGCATAGAGCACGCTGAAGAGCATGGATAGGCGCTCTATGAACACAATTATTCTTAATAGTATTATCAAAAGACCCAGTCAAGTAGGCGAAGGGGCTTAAAACCTGCAATAAAAAATTCAAAAATAGCCTGATGGGAATTCGAACCAGTGCCATTCGCGATGTACTCCGCATGATACAAACCGAACCAACGGCACGCCCTGGAAGTAATCGATAATTTTTGTGAGACTCTTTTACGTTACAGCCGGAATAATATATTTTTTCCAAGAGATTTTTCAGATTCATGAAACTATTTATCTTTTCAATGATGATGATGATGATGATGATGATGATGATGATGATGATGATGATGATGATGATGATGATGATGATGATGATGATGATGATGATGATG